CAGGGAGCCTCACCAGGAGGCCAGGGAGTCTTTGAATGAGCGGAAAAGAAGGCTGCAGTGATATATATATATATATATATATATTCCGATGTTCTTTCCACTGAAGAAGTCTCGCAACGAGCTAGTAGGGGAGGTCGGGTTTGTGTGCATGCAGAATGGATGGTCAGGGGCAGGTTCCAGGCGTCCCTATACTTGTGGATGTACACTCCGACACTACTCCGGATGCAGAAAAACACCCGGTGATGAGGTTCTTTTTCACACTAAACATGAAACTCCGGACTCCAACAAAGACGGGTCGGTCGGGTCGGTGGATGCAGGGCTGTGTCCGATCCCGTCCTCCGGAAAATTGTTCCCATCAGTGCGGCGTTCGAAGGGGTTTTCAGAGCCCTCCAGACGTGGGCGTGACATTGCTCAGGCCATATAGATGGCCTTTTGCTATTGAGGAGATACCCCCATTGAGTTACTGTAAGAAAATCTAAGGATGTTAAACTAATCTCTTCCACCAATTTGAAACCAGCCCCCCCAAAAAAGAACTTCGGTGTCGTTTTTGTTCGTAGGGCCGTAGGGAGTCATGGGCTCCCCAAATTAGAGGGACCCGCAAAGATGGACACGCCTTTGCAAAACTCGTATCAAACATTAATCCCCCCAGATTGAAAGGTCTTCCCTGTCCCTTTACAAAACCTGTATAAATTTAATAGTATATAATTCTTCGACATTCTTCGCTTGTAAGCTTCATCAGACTGACATAAAGATGTGGAAAAGTGATGTCACTGGCATGCGGTTTCGCGAGGCCTCGGTGGAAAGCGTGTTTGTGTGGCTCTGTGCTATTGGGGAAGGGTGCACATGAGTGTGCAAAACTCTGTTGATGCAGCGTGTCGCTGGTGCGGGGCACGATGGGTGGTGATTCTAGTGGGTGGGTGCTTAATCAACATGAACTTGTGTGTAATTTATTGTAATTTAGTAATAGAAAAAGAAGGCGGTTATTTAACAGCAAGGTAAGCTGTCTTCAGGTGGCTTCGCGATGACAACCGCCCGCACCAGTGGCTCTGAGAGAGAGGGTAAAAGAAGTATTCACAATTACTCTATTTTTAGACTCTCTTACAAGTTCTATTTGTTGGACGCTCTTACAACATGTTTGCAATAATTGCCGACCCCCTTGAACATGTACGTCTTTCAGAAGGTCCCAAATGTACACACTGGTAGGCATTTTGTACAAAAACTTTGCGCCTGCAACCAGCTGATGCATATGCTACAATAATTAGCTATTCATTGCAACCAGCTGATGCATATGATGTATTCATGAAAGATATGTTGAGACTCAGACTGTTGAGAGGAGTCGTTTGTTTGCCTGTCATGGACGTGGTGATGCAAATGAGATAATGGAAAAATAGTCAGACATACTTGATATGTGAACACCATGTGTTTTCCATCTTATCTCCCGCCCTCTCCCAGACACACCTCATGATGCAGAATACGCACTTTCGTTCCCAAACGAAAAACACCCCGAACCAAAGCTATATAGCGACGAATGCATTGTTATAGTTCAAGGCCTCAGCAGCCTCAGCACCTTCGGTGCAGGTTAATTTAGGAGTCTAATAGTGCATCATTCTTTTTAGTGTTTTGGAATAGGCACTCGGGACTACAAAGTCAGGTATTCTTTGAAGGGTTTTGGAAGGCCAGGGTAGATGTGTGTGTATATTTTATTCTGTAAATATGTAATATAACCATCAAATCGACCCGTCTATTATTCTCTCAGTCGCATATCGTAACGATAATTTCGTAATAATTTCGTAATTTAGACGACGTCACTAAATTTAGTTTTGAAAATAATGAAAATAACCGGCGACCTAGGAATTAATCTAAATTGCCCAGATCGTTGGCTTTTGTTGTGGTTCAGGCCGTTTCCGCACAGGGCCCACCAGAGACTGTCGTCATGCTTGGTTACAGGTTAATGTTGCTCCTGTGGCAAGTCCAGACACCGAACATACTGAGACACAGTAGCGGCCCTCAGGTGTTTTCTTGTTCATGTTTTCTCTGTTTCCCAGTGACCGAATTGCATCCTTGATGCAACCACATTCCCCAGAATGCAAACAAATACATCCAAACGCACATTTCTTAGCAGGTGGACTTTTAGGCATCGTTCACCCATGGTCTTTGATTGAAGGTATATTTTTAATATATGGTTGTCCATGACGCCCCGGAATTTTGTCAGAGTCCAAGCTTCACACTCGCCATCGCTCCGATGGGCGGGATGGACGGCTTGCGTCGGATCGAGGGTTGCGCAGGAGCTTGAACTGATGAGACAACATGAGCAGATTTCCATTCGTCTCCAAGAGGAACGGGAGAGGCTGGTGATCCAAAGACAAGAGGAGCTCGAAAGAAGAAAGATCATGGAAGCTGAGAGGAAGGACACTTGGACTGGGTTGCATAGTGTAGGTAGCTTACCCATTGCTTGTTAAACAGTTCGGTTGATTTCCCACTAGTCCGTGGTCTTTCGTGCGTGCCGCTCTCCTACCCTCCCAGCAGTGTGGGCTCTAAAGGCGTGAGAGCCGAGAGACACAGTCGAGCTCTCAGGAACGTGAACATCACGTGCGCCTCCTGCTTCGAAGAGCCTTAGAGAAGTTACGGCTCGCAAAGCCGGCCACCATCAAAGAACTCACCCTCGAGGTGGCTTTGCGGATCTGAGGGCTCACGGGTTGGGGGGTTATTTCTGCCCGAGGCAGAGATGGTTTTTCACAAAGAGAAGACTTGGTGAAGGATGTCTGTTGTGTGAAATTGATTGGGACGTTGAGCTGCTTCGATCGTCTTGTTTTCCCCAGTGAGTCGGTTGTTCGGTTTCACCTAAGTACTCAAGCTGCCTTTTGGGATCCCGGTCCATCATCGTGTGACCCAGGGAAATGTATGAACCTTTTTCCTTGAAAAGAATCGCTCATTCTCCAAACATGATGATTAAATAGAGCATCCAACAGTTCTGACACCCCCCAAGGGTCAAATGTGGGAGGGATTTTCATTCAGGAAGACCAATATGGACCCTGAAATGGGTTGTTTTTTTTTTAACGGTTTCCCTCTACAAATGACACCCTGTCTTCAGTGTCCATATTGGGGTAACCGAGTAGCCTTGTGCCCTTGGTATAATAGACGCACACACACACACACATACAACCTCGCAGATCATCTATGTTCCCACTGCCCATTGCCATCGGAGGTCGACAAGTTGATGGTGAAGGAAGGTGATTTGCTCGGGCGAAGCCTGCGAGTTGAGGCGGAAAAGGTGAAGCATGAGGCGAAGTTGAGAGTCTCCAAGTTTCCGGGAGGCAGTTCAGCAGTTCGGAAATTTGACTTTATCAACTTGGAGAATCCAACAAGAGAACTCGTTGTTGCTGCTGTTGTTGCCGTTGCCGCTGCCGCTGCCGCTGCCGCTGCCGCTGCCGCTGCCGCTGCCGCTGCAGCTGCCGCGGCTGCTGCTGCTGCTGCTGCTGCTGCTGCTGCTGCTGCTGTGGCGATGCTGATGTTGATGTTTGTTGTCCAGATATGAGTCGTTACGAGTTTTCCTTTTAGTATTTTTTTCTGTCCGCTGTGGACGTCCTCCAATGTACGGAATCTACCAAATGCATCATCTGATATACTATGTAGTAATTACTTCTTTTGAGAGTTAAAAAGCAAACACCCCTCTATGAAGGGCTTCGTTGCGCTCAATGCTCGCGAATGCCCAGGATCGCCCAATTCCTTCAGCGTGCAGACATGAAGAAGAGGGAGGCTGAAGAATCGAAGCGTCAGCAAGAGGAGGCCTCGAAAAAGCTCATCGAACAGGTGGGAGAGGACGAAGAAGACAAGTTTTCTGATATACAACGTTACTACTTTATTATCTTTATTACCATTTTCTTTCGCAGAACGCTCCTTGGTGTGATTCTTGAGTCAACTGATTAGTTTGGAGATGTTTGGAGTGCTCTGGAGAGTGAAGGTGGCAGGTTCCAAAGCTTGGATGATCATTGGACATCGGGACACAAGGCGTTGGTTGTTCAGAGGGCCAGCTTTATATATTGGGGATGGGCACCTCCGTTTTGCTTGTTGAAAGCAGACATGTTCGGATACTGCCTTTGTCTCGCAGGTCTAGCACATTTTCTGGCCCAGTGATCAGGCGTGCACTATCTCCACCACAGAAGACAAGTGGTGCTATTTTTCTCCCGACGGCAGACTCTGCAAAAACGTGCTGAGGTGGAGCAATACGTGGAAAACGTGGAAGCCATGGCCGAAAGCTTGGAGGAAAAGATCAACAGCCTTGAGGACACCACTGAGGCGTTCTTTGCGCTGTCATGCCATGCACGTCAGCCACACTGCTGTTGCCCCCACTCATGGAAGTAGAATACCGCCTATGTAGAAGTTCATGAGTGTTCTCATGAGTGTTCAACTCAACACTGTCTAGGTGTTCAATCACATTTCAGAATCACCTCTGAAAAGCAAGAAACACGGCTGGAGCCAGCGTTTCTTTACTGCGGTGCTCCAATCAAGCCGGGGTCCAGAGTTCGTTAGTATCCGCATTCATATGATTTCAGGTGCATTACATAGGTCAGGATAGAGTCTAGCTCTTTTTTATATGTACCAGCATGAACATCTCTACCCGACTCTACCCGTCCTCCAGTCCTCATTGTTCTCGGAGGCTCCCAGCGACGCAGAGCTCGAGTGCTGGACCGAGGCCGTCGTGCAGGCCGACAAGGCGACCGACCCGGGCGGAGAACGGGGGGCCGGGGCACCGTGGGACGTTGGAAGTACGTGGAGTCACCGTGGACCGTCGCCGTCAGCAGGGAAAACCACATGAAAAATAAGTTTAAATTACTAGCTCCTTGTTCCTACTAGTAAGGCACTTGTTACTACTAGCGATGCACTTGTTACTAGTAGCTTCTTGTTACTACCAGTGTCCCACTCAAACTCAAAGACATCTGCTCGTGGCGGGGGGATGTTTTTGTTCGGCGTTGTCCAAGCGTACTTTAGACCAAATGTTTCAACCCCTTTTAAAGAATGAGGAGATGAATGAAGAGATTGATGGGCCACTTGAGTTAGTGGATATTTTTCGGCGCTCATGATATGCAGGGATTTCCAGAGCAAGTTGACCTCCAACATAGCGTTCAAAGTATCTCACGTCCGGTCAGGAGATGTGAAGACACCCAGCAGTTTGGCGATGAGAGCAGAACACCAAGGGTGCACCGAAGTGTGAATTTGAGAAGTCTGGCATAGTATACCCACGCATAATACACACGCACTCCATGCATGCAATATTATTTACATGTAGGCGGTTTTGGGGATGAATGGAAATATGCTATACATGGAGTGTCTGGGGTATTCTGATCCCTCTTAGCCTGAAAAGACATCTTTTCCGCCGCCACGGTTGGAAAACCCCACCGCTTCCCAGCTGTGGCCTCGCGCTTTTGGCCTGCGGCCCAAAAAGTGACCAACGGCGCAGGTGGTGGAGGAGGCTTTTCAGACCTGCATGGCCTTTGTGAAGGAAAATACCGAAGCCATCGCGGAGGCCGCTGCTGGCGGCCTTCGGCCTTTGTTTCTATTTTGGGTCGATGGCCGGTGCTGGCCTTCGCATGGACCCCAACCGACAGCCAGGAGTTTTGGAGGTTCTTTCTTGAGAACACAACAAAGGTTTATGCTAGTTCATGCGGTGACATATGTTGATCATTGACCTATGAGAAGTATTTCTCTCATGGGCACCCTGTCACTCATTGATACTTCATGATACTATTGTGTCCAGGTGGTCCCGTTATTTGACATGCCTCCAGTGGGACCCGGTGGCGTCGGGTGGATCGGAGCGTTCGACCTGAGAGGTGGACTACGACGGAAGGCCCGGCAAGGCATGGACGGCACGGCGAGCGTTTGTGCTTTGGCCGAGTGAAAAGCAGCAAAAGTGGCGTAGTCATTGCAGACCTACTAGTGTTGGATAGTGTTGATAAGTCGAAAAGTCCACAGTTTTGCATGGAACGACATCTTTTCAGATCCCAACCAGTGAGGATTTTCGATGGTGGGTTTCGAGAAGAACCTTGTGCATCCAGGGTTCTTTTCCTCAGTGTTTGATTCAAAAACTGCTTGGGAGACATGAGAGAAGCATGGCTCAATGAACATAGGTGGGACCACCTAGCAAGGAAGTTATATGTTTCATATGTTTCATGTTTCATGGCAATAGATTTTGTCAGGTCAGATTTGCAGAAGTTGGGACTATGCCTGACAACAGGGTCTGGATAAGTGTTCCCTACCTCCTCTAGCTGTCTAAATCCATAAGTCAGTAGCAGCGAACTAGTTCGCAGCGTGCGTACGCGCTTAAGCACGTGGCTAGCGCGAGCTCGCCCGCAGAGGAGCTCCTTCAGCCGTTGATCGGGCGTGCCTCAACGGCGCAAGGGAAGCGTTTGGGCGCTAGTGGCATGGCCTCGATCCGCGAGGCCTAGAGGGGTTGGAGAGGTCTCGGCTGGTGGGTTCTTACCCCATTCAGAAATTCATACCGTTGAGGATTGGTTTCCCAGAGAAAGAAATTGTGGCATATTGTGGCAAACGGTCAACTTTATGTTGGGTTGGTAGGTGAAGTACTGTAATTGTTTCGGATTGGCGTTTGGCATGGGCTTCGGCCAACTCTTAGGAACAACAAGGATGGTTTCTGTCAAGTAGAAGGGGTCCGACTGGTTTCTTTGAAATGGAGTCCCTCCAAAGGTCCCTGCCAGACATTTGAAAAGCAAACATGCGCTAGAGCAACTGTTTTGACATGTGATCCAAGGAGGTGTCAGAAGTCCTGCGGGATGGCCGCGGATTCAGCAGCCACCGAAATCTTATGAAATCGACGGTTGATGAATGAAACACGCCCGTAGGAAGAGGATTTACAAGCACATGTAATGTTTTATGGCTTTTAATAATTAACCGTCTACATTCTGCCTCCCACTCTTCTGTTTTGAAGGGGATCAACAGTCGCTGCTTGTCATGGACCAGCCACATTTGCGATGAAAACTCCTGCTGCAGCAAGCCGCGCTGTGAAACAAATCCCAGACATTCCGGACAGTTGAAAGGTCAGTCATTGTTGATAGGCATCTTCTGCACTTTTTGGGATGAAGAGAAAGCCAGGTCGACTCGTACGGTTCCTATGCTTTCCTTCGCGTTTCGATCACCCAGATGTCGCGCAAAAAGGTGGCGCTCCAGCGGAGGGCCGTGGCGCTGGAGGCGCTGGAGCGCAAAGGCCTGGCGGAGGCCTTGCTGGAACGAGAGAAGGCCATCTTCAAACGAGTCTTAGATGGGTGTCACTGGAGCTGGGAGCTGGGAGCTGGTGCTTGGAGGTGAAGAGAAAAGCCCATCCAAGGCGCTGGGTGAGCAACCGTGTGTTCACACATGTCATACTTGGACAACAACCTTTGTGGTAGCTGCCTGTAGTTTCTTTTTCTGGTACAAGTCGTCATCGACGTTTGTGACTATATATAAACCTTCGATGTTCTTCACATTCTGCGGGTTGAACTTTCAAGAGCTTGCTTGTTGTGCAGCTTTTGTGAGCTGTCCAGTGGGTCGGGGGAGTTTCCGAAAAGCTTGAAGCACTACACTCCCCAGAAGCAATTCTGTGACGTGGATGGCATGGCCCCGATGACTCGGATGACCATCTTCCGGAGCCAAACAGGTGGTGAACTCGACCGTCTTTTTCAGGGAGTGTAGTCACCCCTGTGTCAGGTGCTGTGGAGGTGGTGCTTTTCCAATTGCATGATTCCAGTCGTCGATTCCAGGGTAGTCGTTGATTGCAAAACCGGGATCGACGACTGGAGGGAGACATCATCCATGGGATGGTTTTTTTTAGAAGATGGTGCGGTGCGGCGGAAGCCCGGGTCCCGGAACGTTCCGCGGAAGGTGAATTCCCTTGGCTTCCGAACAGGGCACTGTTCGGACTCGGGTGTTTATTTGGAAGTACGTCCATTTGCCATTGGTTCAATACCTTGCTGTTCGGCTGACTTGAGTGGCTGGACAGCGCCGGATTGAGGATATGATTCAGATGGAGACGACCGAATGACCATCGCGGACGCCTTGCAGTACGCGAGGAGCGAATTCGGCTTTGAGGCCCCGCGCCCATCGCGCCGCCGTGTCGTTGGAAGCGATGTCAGTCGGCCCAGCTCGGTGATGGGGTGGCAATCTGCAGCTCTCAGAGTGAATGAGGACGAAAGGGAAGAGCGAAAGAGGTGTTTGGCACGTCTTCCACTGTTCATCTCTTGCACCCAAGAAGAAGCCTCAATTAGGTGATCCTCAAGGAACTACTAAGGAAACAGTTTCATTACTTCACCAGAGGTCCTGCACTGCTCAGAGAGGGCACAAAAATTCACTGGCCCAGTGGATCTAGGCAAAGGATAGCCGCTGGATTGGGACTAAAATGACTAAAACACTGATCCCTTACTGACCTTGTGGCTGCGACCGGGAGTCACCCTACCGACCTTGAACTCTGGACGTTGCGAAGACCAGAAGGCACCCATAAAATGCCCCAAAAGTAACCCGTTACCCTGACGTTTTGTTAAGTTTTTGGCCGTCCAACAGAGACCTCCGGGGGGACTGGGAACATCATTCCAACGGGGCCGGCGACCGATTTCGCAAAATGATGGGTGTGGATTCTAAGAGGGAGACACCCAAAATCTGGGTAGACTGGTCTAGTGTCCGAGCCTTCCAGGAGGTTATCTTAATTTGTTTAATGCACACCCATCTGGTCTGGGTCCCAAGGATTGACGTTTGGTCTGGGTGGGCGCGGCGCTTGCGCCAGGCCTGCCCATCTGCGCTGGAGAGGTCGGAGCTGGAGCTGGAGAGGGCGACATCGGGAGGTGAATGACGTGTGGCTAAGCCGGTGCTGTTGGAGGGCCTTGAGAATCTTTGGACGCCTTTGGGTTCCGACCTGAGCTATGGCGGTCCTCCCCCCACTTCATGATCTTCATGGTAGTTCACCAAGGTCCAGGCAACTCAGTTTGAAGTAGGCAACTCCATCCGGATCTCCTGTCTTGGACTCCCTGTGACCTTGGAATTCTTTCTTCAATGCCAGGCTCTTCCTGAACCTGGCCGACCGCTGGGGCAAGGTGAGCGACCCCAAATCGGGCGGACCATGCGCTGTTTCTTTTCGAGTCCGCGGGAATGCGACCGTTGTCGGATCGTGAGGTGTGTATCGGACCACCTCCTTTTCGATGATCTCCGGGAAGGTGGGAAGTGAAATCCCGGCCCCCGAAACCACCGGTCAGGGTGAAGGCGGGACTTGGCGACCCACCATTTGTGTTGGGACGCGCAGACTTGGCGACTCATGTGGCTCTCGAAGCAGGAAAAGCGAGTGAGCCGAAAAACTTGGTGTGGTCGATTTGGCTGTGGGTCATGGCACCAGGATCATCCAGGATCACTTGGTGTTCCCTTTGTTCGCTCATCTTCGCTACATGGTGGACCAGGGCTCGGGGAGACCCATCCCCATCGCGCCGTCGAGCAATTCGACTCTGGGTCGTGACTAGCCCCCAAGGCCCAAGGCTGTTGAAGTCGCAACAGGATGCCTAGCTGGTTCAGACCACTGTTAGAGAGATCCGCAGTCTAGCTTCAAGCTGGTTTGACAAGCACAAGGAGCAACAGTTTGACGTGCCAGTTGTCCCCTCAAATAATAAGTCAATCACGTCAGGTTTGAACAGATGAACCTGAAAGATTATCATTGTTTCCAATCACAAACACACTCTGACACTGGTTTTCAGTTAACGCAAGTCACGTTGGGA